TATATATATATATATTACTCTTTAAGGCACGGATATTGTACAATACTATTTATCGCTTTCGAGCATTTTACTGCAACGTTTCATATATATATCCATTTCAGAAAAATCAGATAAAGTATTAGAAACGATCTCATATAGAACGCATGGCCATTGTTTTTCTAGGATTTGTAACTTGCGTACAGCATTTATAGTGAGATTGATTAAATTTAGCAAATGTATTTTCCCTTTGTGTCTCCAGATAAGATCTTCCTATAAACAATTGCAATATATATTGCAATAATATTATCGTTTATACATTTTAATTAGTTACAATTAAGCATAAGACATAATCTTGTTATAAAAAATAGTTAAAATTTGTTTTTATTTTTATTACCTGCGTTACATTTCCCTTTCTCCACTGTAACGCCTCCTTGGCAACAACACTTCGAAGTGCCGGGTCACAGTTGAACAGAAATTGTTTGGCAGTAATTTGTTCCCCGCTTTGTTTTTGCACTTTCTCTAAATGAAGTCTTTGTAACAAAGGTTGTAATAAAGAATCTGGCAGTGAACACATTACTATATCTATAAGACCGGTATATTCTTGATTTGCAAATTCCACATCTTCAGCTGTAATCTAGAAAAATATTGAACTTTTAATTCTCAATAAAAGATAAAGAATTGATCCGCATTCCTCTCCCCTCCATCTCTCACACACACACACACACACACACACACACACACACACACGCGCGCGCGCGCGCGCGCGCACGCACAATTTTCCTAGAAAAGAATCCATCAAAAAGTTAAACAGACAACGATTAATTCATCTTTTTTTATACGTGTGCGCGCATGTGTTTTATATGTTTCATTAAACGATTTGGCATAATTTGTATGTCTTATATATATTATACCTCCTTGCCATTGATAACTGCAAGTCCCCAATGAGCTAATCGAAATATAGCATACATTTTCCAATCTTTAGACACAATAGGATTCCCTGCATCTATCTCTATACTGGTCAATCCTTGTACTTCAGCTAAGGCATTTAATTGACCAAGAAGATTGATGTTAGTTTCTTTAAATACGAAATGCTCTGCATGAGGAAATCTATTCTTTAATTTGCTTAAAATTTTTGCCACATCATTAAATTGTACATAATTAAATTTTACAACGTTGACAACTTGAGCCTTTGATACGTCCCAAGTTTTATCTATAAAGCGTAAAGCACCTTGACCGTATATATTCAGGCAGCGACCAACGATTTCTATTAAATAATCCCCACCTAGAAAATGGTCCGATTTTACATTTCGTTTTACATAAACACGTAATATGAATATATATTGTTTGGACAGAAAAAAATTAAAAAATCTTGGTCTACCCTGTTCTCTTTCTTTAGGTGGTACTTGTTGAAGAGGCGGACTTGATGGAGCAAGAGCTCTAAATTTCGCTCTGGCTGTTGCAGCTCTATTACTTTTATAATATACTATCTTTTTTGTTTGAGCACTCTTAATTCTACTTTTATGATCCTTATCACTTTCGTGAGATTTGTGAGCGTTTTTAGTAATTGATAAAACGCTAGAATCACTTAATAATGATTTACAACTGTCTACACTACTAGTCTTTGAATTCAAAGAACAATATCCAGAAGAACTTGTGGTCGATTTTGATTGGTAATCACTTTGACCATCTTGAGCATGAAATACTTTTGTATTTTGGAACGATCTATTATTTAAGCCTGTATTTTCGTTTCGCACTGCATCATGACATTTTAACGAATTCTTCGAAGTTGCAGCAAGTGCTTCTTTATCGTGTATATTTTCATTATCGTTAATATAAAAATTTGCTGCGGTAATCGAGGACATATCCTTCGCTACAATGAAGTCATTACAGATAATAGATTTATCATAATCTATAGCTGAACCGTACATATTAGGAGTAAATAGATGACATTTTAAGCCACTTTTCAAGCTTTCATGACTCTGTGAACTGTCAGTCTCGCTATCCGATAGATTTTCGATATCTTCACTGAGCACTTTCATCTTATGGTCATTTTCTTTATTATTCTTGGACAATCTATTGTCGAATCTATTGCTTGTTAAATTATTTACTATCGAACCTAGTATAGGTGGAAGTTTAAATTCCAAAAGATACGATTTAGATGTGTCTTCTAACTTGAACAAATTCTCGCTAGAACTGCTTCTCTTTTTTATATGTATCTTTCGTGCTTCCATATTTTCATTTATCGATGTGAGACTACCAAAACCTTTTATTTTAGCTTTATCTAAACTTTTTGGATTTATAGTATTGAATTTATTTGAACTTTGTGTGCGTAATAATATATTAATATTATTGTTGCCTGCATTATTACTCGCCACTTTGGAATTATCAAGCGTGACTTTAGTTCTGAGAAATTCCCAATTTGTTTTAGCATTTGATATCACTTCTTCTCTACGTACGCTCATACAAACTTGCGTACTAAGATCAAGAAATGCTGAATTGGATTGTTCCTTGGAAAATCTCCAAGCCATCGCTGTTCTTCGAATTTGTTCGCTAATTTGCATTGTTGATAGAAATTGCAGATTTGGCAAGTACGAAACAAGAAAGGAAATATAATCAGTATTTAAAGTTACTGGATTACCATCTATTGTTATTTCTTTAATTTGCAAGGCTTTTGCAAGGCTACTCATATCTTCGATTCTGAAACATCAAATCAACTCGGCCTGTACACACACACACACACACACACACACACACACACACACACACACACACACGCACGCACGCACGCACGCACGCACGCACGCACGCACACACACACATACACATATAGGTAAATGTAAACATTTATTCTACTGTATATGTGTATATGTGTTTATTCTACTGTATTCTACTTGAAGAATGAATAATCAGGGAACATTTGAATATCTCTTCTTTATGAATTTAAAAGTAATGCATGCGTGCGCGCGCGCATAATTTACATCAAGTGTATTATACATGCAAGTATGGATGTCTCAAAATAATAAAACTTGTAGATATAAATACATATGTAAGCACGTGCAACTAACAATTGATTAAAGATGTTATTGGAAAATAAATAAAACTTATTGTCAAAATTACTTACTTATGAATATCATTGTTGCTTAAATATAATTTTTGTAATTGTGGTGTCTCATGAAATCCTAGCAATCTCTTTAATTTATTCCGGCGCAAATTCAACTCTTTTAACGAAATTAAACCTTGAAAATCATTGCACCCTATAGTTTTGATATTATTCCCTGCCAAGTTTAATACTTTTAACGACGACAAGTTCTCTAAGCCCGTAATTTGCTGGATTTGATTGCCATGCAAATCCAAAACTTCCAATTTCAAAAGTTGTTTTAAACCTTCAATTTTTCTTATTCTATTTTTCCCTAATAAAAGTACTCTTAAATTTTCTAAAAAATCAAAATCGCATACTTTTTCTATTTGATTATCGTATAAATCAAGAAATACAAGTTTTGTCAATTGAGATAAGTTGGAGCTCTCAATCTTGGTTAGCAGATTATGCTGAAGAGACATTAATCGCAATTTGGACTCTCCAATGACATTAGGAAATGTTGTCAGACCTCGCCTATCGAGACATATTCTATCAGGGTTCTTTTCTCGTTCGGCAGGAGTTCTCGATGCCACGATCGTTCTCGTTTCTCCTGTCCATTGTAACGTAACCACGTTGCATCCTTCAGCTTCTGCATTTTCAATTTCAAATTGGGTTCCAGTGCAACTACCAATATATACGACAAAACCAATGATTTCCAACGTTTTAAGAATTGTCGAAGAAACAATTGGTAATTGAAATAAAACTGACCGAATTTTGCTAATTGGCAATTTTGCTAAAGCTCTAAAGCAATTACCTAAATGAATTATAACAACGCTTTGACAGCTTTGGGGGTACCGGCGCACCAGGCAATATTGGTAAAGCAGCTGCTATAGTCAAAAATTGATTCTCCTCTGGAACGCTACCTCGAGCAGTCGATTTATTTTTCGTATCAAATAATACTTTTCTCGTCTGTAAAAACGTGACCAATAGATGATTAAATATATGTTTATATATAACGTTACTATAAAAAAGGAAAGGTTAGAGTACAGAGACTCTTTACTATATGTATATTCCGAATTCTATTCTATTCCTACTCTATCCCTAATCAAAGGATAAAATTGTGTCAGAGTTACATTAGCCTCTTTACACTTAATCATTTCAGACACGTTATTCAAACATTTATTTAAATGCAACACTTGGAATTTTACACATTTTAAAATCACACATGACTCTTACCCGCGTCAAAGTATCGTTGCTCAATGGCATTACATGGCATTATATAATCAAACAGAATAAACCCGCGCGTATTTCACACATTTGGCGACGTTTCACATCTTTGCAATATTTGAAGAATTATTAGTCGGATATTAATCGCGAATCTTATAATCAACTCAAGAAATGATAAGAAATGACAAGCGATACTTTTGCTTTGCACGTTGTGTTATGTGTCCTTGTCATCACTCATTGTCACTGCTGATAGTGCTGTAAGCAGTAGTGCTTGTATACTCATATAATATGTATGTACATCCATACACCACCTGCACCACATACACCTACACCGCAATGTAGTTGCATGTAATTCAATTCTCTCCTCTACTCCAGAAAATCAAGAATGACAGTTTCCAACATCGATAGATATCGAAGAGAATACTGACACAGGCAGAAAGAAAAGGAATCGTGTCAAGAAGATAAAAATATATCTCTGAAAACAAAAATTGTATGTACATATATATAAATGCGATTTCACGCTCGCGTCACGTTGGCTCCATCGAGTTTGTATATAATATACTTACCAATTTTTACGTGTTCCATATATACTTACGTATGTCTGTGTTTCTATATGTTACATGTTCTGCATGTTTCTACAGCATCGATAAACGATAACCCGATACCAATTGCCAACCAGCTGACTATATAGCACACATTAATCTTTCAACTACCTCCCCCCCCCCTCCCTCCACTATACTACTAATACCGTACTACATACCAAACCAAGTACCAAGAGTCAAGAATACCAAGTCGATATTATAAATAAGTAAAAAAAAAAACATACTACACACGATGATGAATCTCGCCGTTGTTAACCGGTTTTTTCATTTTCCAAGAAACTCCATAATACCGACTCGATATATGGTCCAAACGAGAGAATACGCCGGACCAGGTAAGGAAATGAAAAGTTGTCGCACCATTGATGCATATTTCATCGATCTGTCCGTCATTCGTATTCACGTTTAATTCATATCCACGTTTAAGCCTTGATTGAATCTCAACTTCAATCCTGGGCTCCTATTCTTGAAAAGTATCGGCAAGTATAATTATAGTTTAGCTACAGCACCTCCAAAACCAATAAAATTAAGACTCATTTGACGCGTTTTTGCACGAAATGAATAAATCTGACGAAAAGAAGTGTCCCCGCTCTGCCCCCTCGACTAAAGTATTAATTGTTAAAGTGATGACTATTCAGGTTAGGAAATCTGTCATCGACGGCATAGAATAACATTTACGAGGTTAGAATAAGTATTTTTTGCTTCAATTACGTAAATTCTCTGTATGCTTTAAAAATAAATTATTTTCTATTAATTTATAATAATAATAACTCTCGTCGATGGCATACGTAAAACTATACTTTTTCGTACACGGTTCTTTTCAAGAAACCAGGGGTCCTGTATATATAATTTAGATATCTATAAGCATGCGTAAATTATGCGTATAGCCTCAATGATTGAGGCTATACGAGGTTATACATGTAATAATACATATATATA